AAACACTTCTACTCGAAATGGAAGTAAGCCCAACAAGACAAAAGTGAATGGTGGCTTCTTTTAAGTGTACATGTACGAAGGAAAGGTGGGTTTCGATGAGTCTCCTAAGGTTTGTTGGAATGATTTCCGATTCTAATGATAACGCATGATAAAGAATATCTTAATTATGCATTTTCATAATAAATGGAAATCTCTACAACAACTCTTTTAAGGAGTTTTCATTCATTCCTAAGACTATTTGAATCTGCCTTCTGACAGCCTCCCATGTGACGTCATCTTACATCTTACACAACCCCGGTATACTCATGTTTTGGGCCCCCTACAAAGGAGTGATGATGTCCTTTTACAACTTGGAGGATCATAAAACCGTGTATGGCGTCTGATTGACGAGCAAGTTGTTATCGGGACCATACCTTGCTCAAACAACAACCTTTTTAATGGGTTTCTTCGGCCCTGGCAAATTCAACCACACAGCAAGATAATTTGATCACTTAAAAGTATATTTATGTAGCCCTATCTGATGCAACGGGCACTATAATATTGTGTATGAAACTCACTTTCACTTCGTATGAAAATGAACGATTATGAGATTCCTTATTGGATATGCTTTCATCAATGTACAGTTATTCTTTTTATGACACTATTTCACCCCAACCATTATGGCAACGTACATCAAGTATATGCAATCCACTCTCGGGCTTCATATCACTTGTAAGCAGTACTTCTGATTCAAGATATGTTAATACATTTATACACTAGCGAAATTTCACTTTGTAAATCAATTGAAATCAGTTTTTTAACATAATGTTAATTTGAGACTTCACCAAGAATGATTCGCATACGACGGACGAAAGCTTAGCACCTTTTCACCGAAATCGAGGGAGATTGCCTTGAAAACAGCATCAGCATGAATATTCCACTAAAGCCAATCGACAGCTGGTCAAGAGGAATCGGCCGTCGTCTTCTGCTGGAACTGAACTTCGAATCTCTCCACCCAACACTTTCACTCGAACTGGAAGTAAGCTCAACGATTATTTTAGAGTTGGATTGGTTTCGAGAGAGGAACAGGAAGTAGCATTGAGCGAGAGGAGGAGGCTCGATTCGGCTGGAATGTAGTTTTCACTCTGAAATCACACTCGTTTCAAGAGCAATGCATTCACACAACACGTGTGCAATGGGATGCAATCACACGCGGCAACAGTGCAGGATCATAGGCCTACGTGTTTTCGCGGAGGGTGCAGCTGTTCGGTCACAATTGAACTCGTTGCTCGCTTCATACGCAGCCACTTAACTTCACTTTTGGGCAAACATTTTGGCAAAACATGCGATATCCAACCGAAACATGAGATGTCTAAGTGGACCAAATTGGACTGTTGGAAGGAAGTAGGCTTGAAGCTGGCCGACCTTCTTGTCTTCGTGTTTTTGGTGAATTATCGTCAAGAGTGGTGTCCTGCTCTGAGGATGTCCGTCACATGACGGACCAAAGCTCAGCAAGGATTCATCGGGGTCGCAGCGCGGTGCGCCGAGGACCTATTCGCACCAATCTACAATTACAGCTGTCGACAGCCTCCGGTGGAACCAACTTACGAATCCCATTTACTCGCCGCCTTAAACGAAATGAAAGGTACTACAACATTTTTGTGGAGAATTGGGCTTTGTATTAAAGTGCATGATTAAGCGATTTTTATGCAGATTTTAACGGAAGACGGCGGTTGATTGCTGTTGTACTGCAACTGCTCAGCCTTAATACGACATTCAGAACAGCCATAATTGGGCTTTGCTTTCTGGTGAGATCAACCTACGAATCTCTCCACTCTTTAATTTCATATGAAATAAAATTTTTCACAACAATGTTATTTCAGGAGATTCGTTGAAACCCGCTTCTACTTGGAATATTATGTATGAAAGCCCAGCGCCTTTTCACCAGGATCGAATGAGATTATAAGAATGTTCCATTTGCTCCAAATGTATCAGATCAATCTGGTGGGATCGACTGTAGAACTATTTCACTGCACACTTTCATTGCAAATGAAAGGAAGCTCAACAATTATAAGCCAATAGATTCCTCCAAACCCAATTTTCTTCACATATACTGAATTAACTTTGTCTAATAAAATGTTTCATTCCCAGACTTGACTGCGGTCTCGGTGTCAAGTGAATATCATCATCATTATCATCATAATCGAAAACGAGATTGTAGACCTGCCAATGCAAATAAGGCTGCATGCAGCCTTATCATCTCTCAGCACAGAATCGGGTGCCCTTTAACCAGCACAAGCAGATGCTAAATTCAAGATAGACCAGGCCAAGCAAATTTTACATTAAAGTCCGAGTGCCGATGGGGCTAAATTTTATTTCCCCATTTTCGATATGATTGTGTTTCTAAGCCATGAGAACATCTTTAATAAGAACTTGAATCAATTAAACGGTTGAGCAGAAAATTGGTCAAGGGCATTGCTTTCTCTTGTAACTTCGATAAGTTGTAAATCTATGCTTACGATGGAGCGTCTCACTAACGATGCCAAGAAACGTTTGAGAAGGTTCCCAGTCAATGGTGCAATGCTGGAAATCATGACTACTCTGGCAGAGGACACAGGACTAGGTACTTTCCACAAGGTGTCCATGACGCTCCAACCAAGTTGCGAAAACAAGGTCGAACCAACAGTATAGAGCTAAA